TTTTTAAACCCCCCCCCCCCCGTGTGTCTGTCTTTTTCATTGACTTTATTTTTGAGAAAGTTTCGAAACGGAAAAGCAGGTTTCCCATTTTTACGAGCAGAAGCTTTTCCTTATTGCACAAAATCTAAAGCTTTGACAATGGTTAACTACTAGCTACGTCATTGAAAGGTTATAAAATTTAACGATTTCTTAATATATAAATTTCAAAAAATGTTCACTAGGAGTGAAATAATCTTCATGAATTATACCTTTTGAATGGGATAAAAAACGTCTATCTTTGGAATAAGTCGTTTTCCAAGTCACCTGCGAGTTTTTCCTTACTTAAGAAAATTACCATTAATTTCATCCAAGCCCTGTAAGAGCTCACGTAAAGTAAGTTCTCTTAAAAAAACAATTTTCCCTCATCTTATCGGCCATCGCTTCTATTTCTACTATCTTTATTTCCTTCTACCATCTTCAAGAGCCTCCCTCTGGTAAAATGGAAGCCAGTGCTCGCAGAGATAGGGCAACGCTATCCTATAGCATTGCCAAAGGGTCCACGAATTTGATTCCCACGATTTTCTCAATCTTCATCGTACTCTTCTGAATTAGAATTCGATCTTGCTTCAAGATAACTTTCCAACTTCCGATTGACGTCTCAGGTATATGCCCTCGATAACAACTTCACATCCGTTTGCGACTCCCGGACCCCTGAGCTTTCATTCTGAGTGCCTTAGATTCTATTAATTAACTGATATCACGTCTTTACTTTCTAACCACCCGACCACATCATTTCTCAATCAATTTTGATAGCACTGACACTCTAGTCCCTTTCTATCCTTTATATCGGGTAACTCAAAGTTATCACAAAAAATAACCTACATTACCTATCGTGTTAATTTGAATTTTTTGTTCGAGGCTTCAATTTAAAAGAATTTTCAAATCACATAGTTCAGCAGAATCAATTCAATTCGGCTGCATTTAACGTTTGATATTTTCAACAGGACTATTGATCGACTCCAGATTCTTAATCATCATTCAGTCTATTCCAGTTTGATCAGTCATTAATATACTTCATACAAACCTAATCGAACCTATTGAACCGACGGTCGAATAACATTTCGAGATTGATTGTAGCCTTATCATTAATCGACAGCGAATGAATGTTCCTTTGATGATGGCTATTATGTCGCCAAGATGAAAGGGCTGTTAAAAGGTCCGCAGCTACACTCCTCACTCGAGGGTTCGATTCCGTATCGGCATTACTTTATATACACAGGTATCATCATACTGTCGCATACTGTCCGTATATTCTGCGGTATTACGTCCTCGAACGTTATTTTAGTATCTATTAAAGAAACGTGGTGATAAAGCTGAACGCTCGCAGAGTCTCTGTTTTTATTCGCATTTTATCCATTGTCACACAGCTCGAGTTACCGATAAAGCTGAATTAAAGTGCCACTTTCGAAGCGGAATAAAGACTACGGTTGAGGGGGGCGGGGGGGGGAGGAGGAAGAACGGGAGAGGGGGGATAGAATAGTGCAAGCAATTGAATGGCGGCCAATGGCAAGCAATGGGAGACTTAAGATTTTATATATTGTCAATGGTTCAGGGGAAGTTAAGAAATTTTGGATTATCGACTGTGTCGCTTCTCGTTTTTCTCCTAAGTAGCAAAAACAAGATTACGAATCTCTATTGTTAGGTGTTATTAACTGTATCTATGCCGTTCCGCTTCGTGTATCTTGGTTTAAGGATTGGATGAGCTGAATTAACAAAGATATTTGGGGATTCAGGGATTATTTGTTATTAGACTTGATTGAGTTAAATTAGCAGCCCTTGATAAGCTTAGGATTAGGCTTCGTGGGTTTAATTAATTTTTGACTCTTTATTGTCAATTGCTCTAAGGTTAAATAAGATGGATTATTTTTTATGCTATTTACTGTTTAATATATATATACACGTGTGTTTGTCTATTGTATAAATATAAGTTGCTAGTTGATTCATGGTAAGTATCCTCAAGCTATCCGGTAGTACATAAAAGTTTCTTGAATACAAGTCTATTGGATGACAGACATCTCATGATGCTCTTTTTCCTGGCTAAATAAGGTTTCTGAACTCTCGCAATCCTCAGCAAAGTTTTCTTCTGCTATATGAAGAAATAAATTCTGTCTGAGTATCAGCTTGACGAGTTCCGATTCTACGTGACCAGCCGTGCCTTCCTGAGAATTATTTGAATTGGATTCGCAGACTATGAAGACAGAAGCTGTCAATAATTTTTATCGTTTTACCAAATGGCATTTAAAACGGACTTTGCTTTTTCGGCGTGGAAGCACAGTGGAATTTTTTTCATATTGGCTTTATCCTGGTAAGAAATACCTCAAAATGTTTTTTCCACTTTCATATCTAGCCTAATCCTTGTCGATATGCGTGCTTTGAGAACGTTGAGCAGCTGGATTTTTATATAATCTATATATTGTGTTTTTCAGGTTAGTGGCACACATGTTACAGTCGATGGCAACTAATAAATAGTACCTCATAGATCTGTCTATCCGGTTCGGTGGTCTGAACCAGACTGAATCTCCCTCCAGGTTGATCAATAAAGTACAGGGCATGCGCACGTGCCAGGATTTCATCTGCTGGTACTGTCTTCCTGGATACAGGGAGTGAAGAAGGAGGCTTGAGATGAGAGGAAGGCCGCAGGAGAGGATGAAGGAAAAAAGAGGACTGTAGCAGCAATGCATTTTACACTGATAGCAGGTTTATAGAATTTTTACAGAACCCCAGGTTGTTCCAGGTAAATTTTTTTTTTTTTTTTTATATGAATACCACCAAGTACTTTCTGAAAGCATTGTATCAGATTCTACTTGGCGGTAGTTTGATCTTTAAGCATGAAGTACACCAAGTCGTGGTAGAGCATTGTGGTATTCTATCAAAAACGTAACTTTGTATCGAAGGGGAGCGTTGGATAAGCACACATAACCAAGAAATAGTTGGAGAAAGTTTTTAGGGTTGGACGAATATGGTGTCTTTGGTTTATCGCAGACTCTCCAACAGGATGACGAATTGTTATCGTCTCGGGGAAGACTTTCTGGCTGGAGAGAGGTTCGTGGTTTCTAAGATAAACCAACTGGATTGTTAGAAACTTTTTAACTGAACATTTTGCCCGGAGACACTTGTTTCGTTGAGGTTACCATGTGGGCTGTTTTACGTTAAACCGCTATTCTACCACGCTTGACTTCTGTGTTATATGTTACATGTGCTGTGTAAGCTTACTATAGATTTTCAGGTGGGACGGTGTGCTATCTTGTCCTGAGTTACGGATGGCTATCACGCCATTTGTAATTATTCAACGCATTATGAAGAAGGTTACCAAATTTAATGTCACCCAGAACAACCGTTAGGTTTGGTCGTTTTATGTCATCGTAAAGTATCACGGACAAGACGATGGCTGCCACCCGAGAGTGAAGTTCTGGTAGTAAAGCGACTGTCTGTTGCCCTTTTATTGTCTCAGTAATTTTCAATTCGTATCACGGCTTCTTTATATTCCATGGGGAAACGATTCGAGTGTGTTTCTGTGCGTAACGCGATTCCATATTTCTGTGTCGAGTACACGGAATTTATTTGATGAATATATCAGTTCGAAGTGCGTATTGCTTTTACATATCGATTCTGCGAGATCGGGATCATTAAAAGGTTTTATTTGAATTCAGCGAGTAAAATTCGTATAGATTTTAATACTATTTTTATAACGAGTATAGTCCTCGTTTATGGTGGTCATTGTGTACCTTTTTTTAATGATTTCTTGTATTAATTGTAAGAAGTCAAGAAAGAGATCTCAAGTGACTTTTGATTAGAGTATGCTGATTCGTGTAGGGGATTAAATGAGATAATTTGATATTAAACATCCAATTTATATCCGTTATGATGAACACCCGCTACATTTTTCATGTTTAACCTAGCTCACGTGCACTGCACTCGTACTGGCTTTGTACTGGGGTTTTACTTAATTTCCGGGTTACTTAACGTTATGGCTAGCAGGCTATTATAAAAAGCGGATAAACTTGGTATCTATCCATGGATTTACGTCCATTGTTGTTTATAGTCATCGTGAAATATTATACGTCGTTCTGGTTTATCTTATAAAGATTGGAAAGGATCAGAACACACATTTTGAGATTGGAAGATTGTTTTCCTATCGAATTATGTCGTTCGTAATTTCCGTTTGTTCAGGTTTCTCGAAAACTTTGTGTACGATTTCTGTTACCTTGGGGATTGTTAAAAGCAGCTTGAGGATTACTCGTGAGGATTTTGGGAAAGTGTCAAATATATTTGGCTCGTAGACTATTCAGGGATTGGATGGCTTTTAATGGGGAATAGAGTCAGGAACAATAGGTGTGATAATAGAGTGGGCTTATCGCAATGGTATAGATGCGAAATGATTGCATGCAGATGACACGGGGACAATGCGTGCATATCTCTTGCAAGTGGATAATGCAATTATGTGAATTCTATTGTAATCGCTGCGACCACGACTTCCGTTGCCGTGAATTTTCCCAAGTTATTCTACATCCATTACTGGGCTATTGTTTCCATTTATTTCAATTTTCTGATGGAATTAAAGCATTTTAGGAGAAATTCATATTCTTGATGACGAAGGTGTCGGATGATTTTGCCACGATTCCATTTATGAAATTTCAGCAGTAATGGCTACTTGGTGTTAAAGTATTACCATGATAAATTTGACAGATGGTATTATTAATTGTAATCAAATGGCATTAGTACAATTGGGCAAAGCTTCAATTTTTTTTTTATTTTTTTATTTATAATCGTTTATATCTCGTAGGTGTCACCTGCACGGCTCTCATTGTATTTAAAAACGTACAGATGAATATATTTTTCCCAGAACAATGGTACTTGTGGCTTTTCCCCTTTTTTTAGAATTTATTTCAACGAGCTGAACCGAGTCGTAGTAAAGTAAGAATTTTTACAGCTGCTTCGCCTGTTTTGGTGCGATATGCAAACAAGTGCCGGTCTCCCATAAATCTAGGTTTCCCTTTTTTTTTTTCGTTTTTCACTAAATTTACTGTTTCGCATATGACAACGTGCGTTTGGGAGAGTGGCTATGCTTTATCCTTATAATATAGATGGTATATCTCTGCTACATCCTCAAGAGAACCTTAATGGTTTCAAGCGTAAAATGATACAATATGTTATGAAAAAAGGGGAAAAAATTTAAAAAATATAAAATTCATATAAAAATATTTAATATGAATCACTCATACGTCCTGCTTTTTATAAACAATTCGTTAAACGTGGCCACTAAATTTTCAGGATTGATTTTTTTTTCTGAATTCTAAGTAAACTTGACATGTTCACTCATAACATCTATGATAAAGTTTCATTATAGTTTCTTTGCTTTGTCTAGTTACAATTTTACGTATCATCTTCCCTGAGTGAAGCTGCGTACCCTGGACCTTTTTTGTCTGCTGAAAGGAATTTCCAAACAATGCGATTGGACAGGGCAACGGATTTTAATTATCTGAGATAAAAGTATCGACTTTCTTGATGCTAAAAAGTTACTATTAATTCAACTTATAGAATCTAAATACGATTTTGTAGAAAATGAACTGGCGATTCAATTAAGGATTAAAGAGAAGCAATTAAACGTATATCCCTAGAATGCAATTACATCAAGATCGAATCCACTTATCTGCTTTATTGTCTGAAGTTTTAGTAAAAATTGTTGTTATTATTCTCGGCCGTTATTTCGTCTCTATAAAAAAAATCATGTTTCTTCACTGCGTTATCAGAGTATCCAAGATAAATGAATCCTTATAGAATTCCCACGACAAAGAATATGTCTAATCTTTCATTCCATTAAAATTTCATCATGTAAGCGTTACGGTGTTCGTTCGAATTAATTAAATGAGAGATTTAACTTACCGACGTAGTAAATAATCGATTTACTCTCTTTTCGCACGAAACGAATTGTCTCCATTAATCCGTCGTATTCAGCGTTCACCAATTGAATAGTAAAGATAACAAGGGGATCTGTTGATTGTGCAATAAAGAAAAGTCGTCACTAGTCGAATGTACAGTAGGGTGAAAATTTTTGTATTTCATGAAAATAAAATAGCGCCCTTAATAAAACTAACCTGCTTGGTCTCTTTAGGTGAGAAAAAGGTTGATTTCTATGTTGCAAAAAATTTGAAATAAACGAAACGTTTATGCTGGGTTAATGGATATTTTTTTTTTGTAATTTCAATCCGAACGAATAACGTTCTATAGCTCTCAATGCGGTCCAGTACTTTCTACTGGGCTTATGTCGGAACGGAGTAATCCTACTAAGAATTGTCGGACATGTAACGAGGGATTGATTCGGTTGTCAAGTTTGGGTAAACTTTCCAGCACGCTCTGTCCGTTCGAGGATTAAGACTTTGATATTGAAGTAACGAAGAAAACGTGAAGAGAATTGGGAGGAAGGGAGGCTGGAGCTTTAACGTATATATAATCCTGATAGGCATCTTTATGTTATGTAACGTGACGTAAGGGTTCGCTCGGTTTAGGATCAAGCAAATTGAACGAACTCAAGACAGGGTCATGGTGATTTCTTGTCGGTAGAATCGAGAACTGATCCGATCCTGATAACAGGTACTAGTATTATTTTTCAGAGAAGAGTTGAGATTCTTCATTTATTCAGATCACGTTTCCGCAGCATCTTTTACCGTGATGAAATTTTCGAATCTGATTAAATTCATTGAATTAGATTTAATTAAATTTCGCGATTATATTGTCATTTGGTTTTATCATAGGGAAGCACTTTACCCTTCGGAGCTTACGGTGCTTTCTTAGCTTTTGACGATTCAGTTATAACGAGCTATTCGTTGCTTGTTAATTTCTTTTGCATTAATCGGAATCGAGGATATCGAATAATTTATGCGTATATTTTGGGACTACAGAAGGTATTTATTGGGGGGGTCGGTATATTACAGGCATTGATGGTATTTGCCACGTGTACTGCTCGTGACTGTTTTGAATTACGTGTCTGCTGGTCTACCTGTGAAAATGGCACGTATCACAGAATCTAAATGGACGTGGAATCACGTAGGAAACTCTAAATTGATTACTCATGACGAAGATGGTGGTGATGGTAGTATCCTTGATGTACAATGCTAGACTATTCGGGCCTGGTCGATTGATATTTGGTTAAACGCCAAATGAAATTGAACACGTTTATCAGGAATTTGTGCAAGGTATTGTTTACAGGTTATTTCTGCAATTGGCCCAAAACTGGCAGAAAACTCGAATATAACTCACGACTGTGTATTTTTGGTAAATACTCTTGTCAAGTCAATACGTATTTTCTTGACTGTGTAAAATTTAATATGAACAATTTTTCTGTTACATAGAAATCACCTTGTTAGCCGAGGTTGAAAGTCCATGATGAGATTCAATACTGCAGAGTTTCCAGGAGCTCGTACCTCTATAACGAACAAGTGAACCCTTTTAGGGAAATTTGAAAAGAAATGAGGCGAGGCAGACGATTTGAAATCCCAATGCGACATATACCGAGTGAAACTGCGTCAAATAAGTGACAGGTGCATTGAAGTAAATCAGAAAATACTTTTGGACATGAAAAATGCTATGAGCTCGCGGTACGTATAAAAAATGTATCTGAGATTTTAAAGATTATTAACCATTATGATTTTAGATAAGGGAACAAGGCGTATAATAAGGAGATTAAGCGAGAAGGTCATTTGATTATATGAGATCGAGCAAGTTTGAATGCAGTAATTTCGATTCTGGAGAATCGCGAACAGCAGATGGACGGATATTGCGAAATTGGAAATTCCAGGAATAACATGGTAGCAGGTACTGATTCAAGTAATACTTGGCGCTTAATAGTATTCCTGTCCTTTTTCCTTGATAATATATACGGGTTTAAGTGGTGTAACGCGAAAGATAGTACCTTATCTAGGTAAAGCTTTAATTGAGCAGAAGATTGACACCAAAGTCAATTTGATAAGCCACGTATCGAACGACGGAGTAATTAGCAGCTCTGGGGTGTCATTACTCAAAGGAATAAGATTACAGCAGTCAATCTTCTAATTTTGACAATTAATAGATTCGTATACGAGTATATATAGCTTAGAAAAATATATGGTTACTACGTTGACACTTATACCATTCAATCTTCTTCTTTCAGAATTGAACTTCCTTCCGCTCAGCTTTCTCCAGAGAAAATATCCAGCAACCGAATAAGGGGAGCCAGGATGGAATTACGTTTGCAAGTGGAAAGCACCAGCATTTCCTTTTTATATTCACAGATTTTTGGTACGGTAATATTATATATTATCTTGGTCATACTAGATTTTTTAACCTGTGTTCTACTTTGATAATAGCGAGAGTTTCACCCACGGCTGGTTTGCGTCTCTTTAACGTAAGGATTACACAGAGAAATTGGAGCGAGCTGTACACGCTCCTTGAGAAACATTTATGCAATGGACTAGCAGCGAGAGAGGTTATCAAGTATGCTGGCGACAGAAATAAACGAGGTTATGGATTGTAACGCGTCGCTAGGATTTTTCAATGAAGACGAATATAAAGGTACGGTCTTTTCGAGGTCAGCTGCTCTTATACTTAGGTATATACATAGATACAAGGACGTAGTAACGGAGAAGGTTTAAGGTCGATGGTGGCAACCTCACGTTATTACTGACATTGTTAAGCCTGACTGTTAGCCTGGATTGCGTTTCCCTGCAGGGAAACAGAACACAATGCAAGAACACTAGGCTTTTGTTCGAGGTACTTATTGAACATGGCCTCATTCTATATATATATATCTCTCTTTCTATTTCTCCATCTTTGGTGGTGGCACAGTCTCAAATGGGAGGGATCCTAGGAAGCTTTCCTTTCAAGCGAAAATACATTTACCTAAATACCTCTTACTTAGATGTCGCAAAGCACTGTGGGTACCTATAAGCTCTTTAGATGTAGGTTTAATCATTTCAAGAATTCCATTTGCGTTACCCTTGCGTAAAGAGAATTAAATTTTTGGAAATTAATCGAGTTTATTTCTTTCATAGATGAGTTTTTGACATATTCTTCGTTGTCAGTTTAGTCTGATTCTTTATGACAGACTGGAATCTTGTTCTTTGAAATTCGTATTATTTATTATTTTTTTGAAACGCTTTATGAAAATTCTTTTAAATTGTTGGGTACAATGAAACGTCGGAATTTATTCACAGGTGGGACGTTACAAGAATACACAAACGTTTCTCGTAATGTAACTAGAAGCACGTAATAACGCGAAGTTCAGATAATTAAATTAATTAGCGTATGAGAGTTTAACGTAATTGAGCTTACGGAGAGACTTGGTGGTTGTCTCGAAAGTTTCTGTTGTAATAAGCTTGTTCTTTTTTTATTTTTAGATTGTCTACGTACTACAATCCAGTTGTCAAACAGATGTTATTATCACATGTGAGGTATAAGGATTCAATAGATATTTTGGAAAAAATCTAATTGCTTTTTTAAGCTTTAACTACAATTTTAGGCAACGTAACCTGATCGACGTTACCAAATCCTTGCCTAAATAGGCAATTAATTTTTGAATGAAGTATTAGCTGTTGAGTTAACTAGAAATTTCGAGGGCGGGTAAGGTTGTTTGATCAAAATGCTAATTTTCTCGTCATGATATCATCATGTAGCATCGGTAGTAGCATTAAGTTTCCTGTGCTTATACGCAGTTCGCTACTTTGCATATATATATATAACATCCCTAGCTTTAAAGCTATCCCTGTGAGGTTTCGAGGTATCCCCAAATTTTGAAAAGCGGTTGTCAGTGGTTTAAGTCGATTAGGGTTAAAGCGGGCTGAGGCATTCGCGTGAGATAAACACTAATTCATCAGTCTTCCGATTCGCTTATCTTGATTAACAAGACAGAGAGCTAACAGTATTGATTATTCCGCATTCCGCGTTAACGTAAAAGAAAAAACCAAAATTTTGAGGTTATCTTAATCGCTTATTTTAACATTTATTATCATTAACGAACGGTAACCAACTTGAACTAGAATCACAAATCCGGCATATCGATCCTTTCTGAAAGACAGAATTGTGGTTTCTTGTCAAAGAAAGACACGAAAAGCTTATCAGTCTTTTTCTCATCGAAGGACGGACCGGAAGTCCCTTTCGGGAAATTGTCAAGGAGATATTTGAAAGATACGCAAAGGGACGCTGATAGTCAAAGCAGTCACTGAAAGTGAGGCGAAAAAAAATGGCGTGGTTTATTATTAATAATCACGCAAACCATATACGAACAGATGAATTTTGTTGACAAAATGATTTTCCTGTGTATACACAGCGACGAAATATTAATGAAAAATTTGCATTGTAATTTCATAATTGTGTAACACTATAAGCACATGCTACCTGTTACGTATCGTATATGTTGTCATTGTAGACAAGGAGCAAATATTTATACTGCTTAATAATAACGAAAAAAAAAGTTCTATCCGTTATTTAGTAGTACATTTCTTTCCACGGGTATTTCCACAATGCAAACTCTTTTTTAAGCGTTCCGTTGTTTGCGTCATATCCGAATAAAATACCTGGTAGACCAGGAATAAAGGTTGACAGATATAAAATTGTAATTCGAAAGGAGTATTATAAATTTGAATTAAACTGTCCCTTTAAAGGACATGAAATATTTGCAGTTTAAAATAAATGTTGAAAATACCACAATATTCTTTTTTTTTTTTAATTAGATTCATTTTCAATTACTTGTCATATCAAGTAAGAAGGACACTGAACTAGGTTACGAATGGAGGATTCTGCTCATAAGTGTATGTATCGTTTTATTATTTCCATTCGAAAGATAAACGTAATTCTAAATAAATGTATTCCTTGTTCCAGTATTCCTGTTTACAAGAGAGGACAATTGGAGCGATAGAAAATTCATGAAATACCGCATTCGATAGGAGAGTGGCTGGAAACTACGTATAAACAATTTGGTGTCAGACTTGCTGTTTTTGAAAGTGCTTCTTGGTTAACTTATGAAGCATCAAGTGTTTGCGTGAAAATAAGGCAAAATACGTATAAAGAAATTAATGAAAACCGAGAACGATGATAACTGACGTTATCCGTATTTCTTAAATATGTATGAGTCAAAATATTGGACAACATGTATTATCATGTTGAGATTACGAATGAAAGTAATGACTCAATTTACACGTAAACAAAAATTTGCGTTCTTGCAAAATCCTCGAAAACAATTCTATTCCATATTTTATACAGTTTCAAGAAAGTTTTTACGCCCAAGGAGACAATTCCTGTGCGACGAACTTCGAATGTTAGATAACCGAAGGTATAACCGATCAATAGGTAAAACCCTCGGGAGTATTTTCGAATCAATCCCGAATCTCCACTTTTAGATTGATTTACGTTCTATGCAATTTCGATATGTCGCTGCAAGCACAGTTAACTGCAAAGAGTCAAGTTAACTGCTATTTGCTATCAGATTGAAATTTTCAAGAGAACTCTGGTTCCAATTATCCAATCCGAAGGTTCAAGCCAGGAGTGATCGTATCGCGATTCTATTATCTGCGAAATTTTCTCAAATATTAAACTATGAATAATTCCTTATCGTAGCATCGATTCCGTACCGGTGCATATCAGTCAGACTAAAAGAGTGATATTTATTATTATTATTTTTTCACTATACACCATGATTTCTACAAGGATCTTTCTTATGCATAAAATAAACATAAAAATTCTGAATATGCGAAATATTATTTTTTTAAACTATTTTCTCCCCTATATTTCACTCGCACGTGCCCCCACACTGGGATTGTAATTCTTGGACTTTTATGATCGCATGTACTTTCTACTTCAGCGAACCCATAATTACAGTGGACCTTTAAAGGTACTCAAGCTTTACGTGTTGGATTAATGAATTTACCCTCGCAACGTGTTTGCATCCCCGGAATCCCGAAAATCATCACAGCCGGCATGTTGCCATGATGGGTTACTGCTCTTACTCTGCCTATTGATATATATATATATATATATATATATATATATATAAAATTACGTGTTAATGTCTATGTACAGTAGATCGGTTTATATCGATCATTCACCAAGCTGGCTTAGTGGATTATTTAACCCCTTTCTTCACTATAACAAGCTATTATAGCAAGCAAATCGATGATCTGTTGACATGGCAGCGCGTGATCATTCATTGTCTGATTCACGTTACCCTTGCCTGTTACTGTGCTGCTTCTTCATCGGTGAACATGGACCGATGTACCAGCCTAAGACACCCTAGTAACAGTTACGAACAAGACACGAAATCATTGAATTTGAGTAAATTTATTTTTTTTTAATACCCAAATTATATACAATTAACGTTATATTGTTGGTTTTACGAACAAATTTGATTTTTTTTTCCTATCTGTTTCCTCCATAAAGATTTTGAATTCTTCAGTTTTCTCACGCATCCCTTGCGTAACACCCATTATTGATGATTTTTCTCATTAAAAAATGCCTGACACGTTTCTTATTAAATTTATAGCACATTCTTGTCATGGCAGTTCGGTGCCTGGTAAATTTATGACCTGTTGTTTTGATTAATGGTGCAATATAAATATCGTGAAGTAATTTTTAATCGATATTATTTATTGGCTGTCATTCAGTAATGAAGGATTAGGGGTAGTCCAATTTTTTCCTCCGATTTCTTGTTCATCCATTTGGTCAGACTAGTAAGACTGAAATCTTTCGCTACGTCAGGCTGGAACTTACCCTTGGGGGTCCATTAGCAGCCCTATCAATCGCTGGCTGTCTTAATCCTTTTCCTTAACACGAGAAACGTCTATTGCCAATGAGATCAGGGCTCTCCGGTTTTTCATACATTTGATGTGATGTTAATCTTATACTCATACGATTGTATTTATCATGTTAGATTTATCTTATAACGTAGGAGCGTATTTTTATTTTCTATCATTCTATTCGCTTTTCTTTTTTAGAAATTCAATTCCAGGCGAACATTCACCAAAATTGCGTGTTGGTTCTACTTGAACTTTATAAGGTAATACAAATGTCCACAAGTAAAGAGAGGCGGGTCTTTCAACATCTCATAGAGGACCGAAGTTTTCCTGAAACTTTTCCACGACAACTTCCGCACAGGGATTTCCTACGTGGAAGACTTACGAGACGGCAGTTTGTCATTCTCGTGCGCTAGAGGCTTTCAAAACGAAGAATGATAAATGGTGGACAAATTTTTTATAAAACAAAAAATTCCATCGCGTCGCAGTCAAGAACATACAATTTTCATAAAATTAATTAAATTCTCGATATATATCTCTTTCTTCTTTATTATCGTCTTTATATTCGGAAAGTAAGGACCGTCAATTACCATTTTCAAAGTGCCTCCTTTATCGTTATGACGTCATTGGACTTTATTTCGCTTATATTACCGTCAATGAAAATTCGTATTGTCTTCAAAATTATGGGGACCTTTGATCCCCTGCAAATGCGTACCTAATTACAGACTGGGAATTTGAGGTAAAAGAGGGAAAAACCATTTTTTTTGTACAATATCAATTTTTCTCTTAATATACTCAACCATCCTTCACGGACGTACCAATATAAATGAAAAGTCTGTCCCGAAATTATCTGATAATTTATATCAACGCCTGACCTTATATAATTTGTCTTCTTTATTTCCACAAATGACGTATAAAAATGTTAACAGTAATTTAAAGTTATTCAAGCTTAAATTCTATCTCGATTCGATCGTGCGTCTACATTATATTAAATACTCCTAGTTCGTATAGAATAGTAAAATTCCAATTTATCCAATAATTCATGTCTCGTTAAATTTTCTCAATCCACCGAAATTAATTATTCGAATATACATTTATCAATATGACTATTCTTTTACATTAGAAAAATATTTTTCAAGCTTGATAGTAAATTAAAGAAAGTACTATTATACGTAAAATAAAAAATCACCCCCAGACCAGAGCCGCATGACCCCACCTTAATCTTACTTCATCAACTAATTAATGGAGGTCAAAGACGATATCAGATAAAATAAATCTCATTAAAGTTGCGAATCCATTGCTAAAATATTCTCCATTTATTATGAAAGAACCAAGAGTAGCATAATATTCGTTCTGATCTGCATCTTTCTTATGTTAAAGGCATGGCCACTCAAGATGCGAAGAAACGAAGGCATAAAGAAGCTCAAATATAAGATGACCGTCTCCCCCAGTTCCAAGTATAGTTCCCAGTTCCGTTCCGTCCTGTCGTTATTTCCTGTTGTTGATTTTTCCTGAAGGCATACAGGGACTTCCAAGAGGTCAGGGTCCAGGGTTTGTACTTCCAGGAGTGAAGCCACGCGAAGTAACGTGTATTAAGAGCATTTTTAAAAAATGTGGTAGACAGCAAGTAGCTTGACACTTGTTTTTCTCCTTTCATAGTCAGTCAAGTCCTCGCAGCGTATGATAAGCCTGGGGCGAGGTTGACACACTAAGTGAGGACGAAAATTCTAGCAGGAAACGTTAGCCTTGCTTGCTACTACTGCTACTTCTTACCCCTATAATATAAAGACCGGCAATTTCCCTCATGTCTCTTTCCTTTTGCTTTCAGGTTGAAGCCAACAAGAAGAAACATTTTTTCCTTATACTTCCACGAAGAGGCTTTAACCGTTTTACGCAAGGATTCATGGGACACGGCCAATTTGGTTCATGGCTTGTTGGTGAATATTAAATTTCGTAAGCGTTGGCGAATTTCAAATGAGGATTAACGGCTGACCACTGACGTTGGTATTATGGAAGTCCCCAAGGTGATGGTCAGAAATGTAATGGTGGCTTATGCGTTATCAACTAGAATACTGACACAAGGAAAATCAATGATATAGATATACATATGCTATATATATATATATATATATATATATATATAATATTAACACACGTGAGATGCTTTTTATATGCATGTAGATATTAGAGGTTAACACCTTGGCTGTATCTTACAAAGCTTTCTGTATGCGCAACGTTAACCTTCGTGTGCTTGGAATTTAACGAGAGTGACTTCTTTGAGGCTTTAAAAGAAAGTTCTTTAAGAAGGCGCGTCACGTATAACGCTTCTAATTTTATCTGAGCTTTGTACTTTCATTTCCTTATCCTCTTCGTCCAATGGTATCGTTAACACAAGCATTCGAGTTTCGTTTCATCCGGCTTTCTTGGAGGGTATAGCGCGTAGGAGCTTTTTATGTCAATTTGGACGATGGATTTTCAAGCTACATATAAAATATAGTTGGTAGGATCGTCTACTGCGTGTCTCGTATTGATCCATAAACGTGGGAATGCTATGAAAAAGCTAAATTGGAGTTTACCGTGAAAAAGAATAATCGTTGTCATCTGTCAGACAAGGACGCTCTTTCTTTTAAATTTAAGTAAAAGGCTTATGGAGAAAACTTATTGTGGTTTTACATATGTCAATTTTGAATGGCAAGCACTGCTTTGTAGTCTCTATGAATACCTGTGCTTGTGAGCCAGTCTGACGATCGATCACGCAATTCCTCATGAGATTGTTTATCCCATTGTGTACTCTGATTGGCGGACTGAGTTTCTATCCAGCCAGCTGACCAATCAGAGCCTTGGTAGTTCTGCGAGTAATTTCACAGTCTGCTGTATTAGTGGATCCTCCTAGCTATTACATGGAAGGTATATGCTTAGTCTGTAGATGGTTCGTTAACTAAGGCATTGTGTTCAATGATTATATTAATGATGAATCGATGAATAATTATTTGCGGAATATCAATGACTAAATACTGTTACACCGCAATATTTATCTGGTGCTTTTATCGTTTGGAAAATTTAAAAAAAATTTATTAGCAGCATCCACCCTCTTGAAAGTAGCGTTTATCCTGTAATGTTGCCTATCTGAATAGATATTGGCATAAAATTCATGGAAAGTAATGTCATTGTGACTCGTTATTGGTCCTTCGCAGCATCCTGCATCCCCGAGTCAGCCATAATGTAACTGCTCGTTTATCTATCGCAAAATATGATTTTCTCATAAAAAATAGATGCCTCTTCTACATGTAGCGTTGTACGAGATTTATTGATTTTAGGGAAACGCGCAACCTCCCGATATACACGTATCTACATATGTACATATATACAGAGCTATGTATCCGCATCTATATATCCATAGTGCGTTATCGTATTTCACGTTATGTTCAATTAAAATTTAGTGATAGTTACTGTGCAGATAAGTAAGTCCAGCTAAGTAAATCCTGTTGCGTGCAGCGAAATAGGAGGACACGTGTAACGGCTTCCACGTGAAGATTATGCAGTGTGACGCGTGTGTCGTATGTTGGCAATGTAAAGTAGAAAGCTGGAAGTTGCTTGGGGAGATGTAGAATTTTTTTGGCCTACCCCTCAAAATTTAATGAGGTTAATCGACGATGGAATATTTTGACAGTTTTGACAGCTGAATGGAGAAACTATACGGTGATCGGTCATTGTATTTTCTTTTTAGATTATCGATATATCGATTCTCCATAAATCAATAGGGTATGGCATAATTGTTAAAGGGCTTTATTATACACGTGCTTGGATTCTGTTAAAGAACATTATGACGCTTGGGGTGGATCTGATGGATGCACAGGAAGGCTGGAAGCAGCAAGGAAGATGGAGGAGGACGATTTGGACCAGGGTTATCTTCGGTTATGTTCTTTTTATCAAATAAGCTGG